TTTACACTCTTTCAATGAATTCGGAACTCAACTTAGTCAGTATATAATTACGGATAATTCACTTCTTTCAGAAATTGATTTATTTATTTACACACACAACAACTATCATCGATCGTGTATAGTATAGTCCTGATTCATATCCATTGTAATCCACGTACTGCTGTCGATCCTTCATGTAGCTGACGAAGAACTGGATCATATACGAAGTACATCCGACTTGAGCCAACTTTTTTAATAAAATAAAGGCGTTGCATAAATATAGCGATGACGACGACGATTTTAATTTATGAATTTGTTAATATTGTTCTCAAGTGAGTGACATATATCTTTATTGAAAATAAAGTTTCTTTAAAAACTAAACCCATTTTATTTTGTTATATTTAAATCAGCTGAAGATATTCAAGAATATCTAACCTCTTGCAAAATTAATCCAGAGCGAGAATTTTTAAGAATATGTCTCAAATTAACTCTATTCGAAAATATTTGTATTCACGGTTTTCTGTAAAGATTTTCGATGGTTTATATCTGAACTTTAAATATTTTTACACAAACTAAACCGCTAGTATACATAAAGAATTCGTTTATAAATTTTGTAGTTGAAAACTTATAAGGCCGGACACCTCCTTGCTTGAACTATTGTTATCTAAATGGAAAGCGTGCAATGGAAAAAACATAAGGAAAAACATGGAGGAACAAGATAGATTAACAATCAAGCGACATCAATGCCGTTAGGCACATCCGAATTTCATAATTTTTTTATTCGAAGCTCATTTTCAAGAAATCAAAAATGCACAAGAATAATGTTACGAGCTTGGGGTTCGAGACAATTAAAAACTGCCGATTGAATTACCAAAATTGACACTTTAATTACACAACACTAATTACAATCTAAAATCACACTAATAATAAAACACAGTTCGCCGTTATTTCGCTTCGAAGTATTCTCTTGTATCGCCAATCTTATACTGCCCGGTCGTGGTCTATACCGGCCTTATATAGGGCCTCAGATAGTTTCCAGAACCTTCTGCTGTAGCGACATCTAGAATGTTCGAGTACATATCGGTCCCGAAATTTCTGGAAGGATCTCGACTCTCCTAGTTCTGCTACTCGACACTAGAGGGCGCTAGAGTCTAGTGTTGCCATGTACAAGACCTTAATAGTGGCGCGCAACACTGCCCCCTCCTAAGACATGCTCGTCCCGAGCATTGTTGGCCCCATAATAACGCGCCAGTCTATTCACATGGACAATCTTAGGAGTACCTCTTCTAAAATCAGTCAGCACCCGCCAGTTTCCCTGCTGCTGCTGGGCGGTGCTGTTATCCACACTACCCTCTCGAGATCGATCACCTTTTTCTACAGTTCGTTTAGGGCAGCTGGAACGAAGATGGCCCCTTTTCCCACAGCCGTAGCACCTAGGGCTGTATCCTTTATTGCTGTCGTGAACTATAGCTGCTGAAACCTCCCTGGCACGATGGGAACGATGATCCTGCCGCGCGGCTTCCACCTCCAGTGCATGGGCCAACGCATTCTTAAGCGTCTCATGGTGCCCGAGCCTCACAGCAGCTCTGACTTCAAAATCGCGGATGCCGTCGATGAATGTCTGCACCAGGTTCCCTACAATGAGCGCAGGTACAGACTGGTATGCTTTCCGAACCAGCTTCTCCACCTCAAGGGCCCACTGCTGCAGGTTTTCGTTGCTGCGTTGCATGCGATCTTTGAGCTGCGCACGAAAGACGTGTTCCAGGTGAGCGTCGCCATATCTCGACTCCAATGCCTCAAGGAGCTGCTCGTAAGTCACTTCCTTACCGAGAGCTTCCAGAACAGTTAAGGCTTGGTCGCGTAAGCCTAAGGTGAGAGCAGTCATGGCCTGACTTTTATTCCAGCCGTTCGCCTTCATAACAGCTTTGAACTGGATTTTGTAGGCCGACCAGGAAGAAGTCCCGTCGAACGGCGGCACTTTGAATAATCCACCTAGCGAAGGTGTTGTAGCTACCACGGGAGCTGTAATTCCATCTCCATGTTTGAGGTCGTCCAGCGTTTTCTTCACGTCAGCCATCACGTTGTCAACCCGATTGTACACTTGGTCGATTCGGGTTTCAGCCTCAGACAGGCGGTTGTCATATAGAGCATAGAGCAACCTGATCCTTCAACTCCTTTATCTCTTTCCCGAAGGTAGTGTAAAGGTCCTTCATGAGGAGCATCTGCTCTTCCTTATAGAGTTTGAGCTGCTCTTCCAACCGACGGCCCTGTTCCTCCTGTTGGCGGGCCTGTTCCTCCTGTAGGCGATGCAGCTGCTCTTCCAACCGACGGGCCTGTTCCTCCTGTCGGCGAGCCTGTGCCTGCAGCATCATCATCAGAGCACCTAAGTCAGGTGCTGTAAATGCAGGAGCTGATGACGGACCGGCCTCCGTGGTCAGTAGCTGGCCCTCCGAAGTTTGCGGCGTTGTATTACCAAATCGTCTCTGGTCCGTCTCCAGCTGGCGTTGACTTCGGCTACGGATACCCTCCATGTCGTCTTTTGATAAAATCGGCATGATTTGATCCCACTTCTGACACCAATTGTTACGAGCTTGGGGTTCGAGACAATTAAAAACTGCCGATTGAATTACCAAAATTTACACTTTAATTACACAACACTAATTACAATCTAAAATCACACTAATAATAAAACACAGTTCGCCGTTATTTCGCTTCGAAGTATTCTCTTGTATCGCCAATCTTATACTGCCCGGTCGTGGTCTATACCGGCCTTATATAGGGCCTCAGATAGTTTCCAGAACCTTCTACTGTAGCGACATCTAGAATGTTCGAGTACATATCGGTCCCGAAATTTCTGGAAGGATCTCGACTCTCCTAGTTCTGCTACTCGACACTAGAGGGCGCTAGAGTCTAGTGTTGCCATGTACAAGACCTTAATAGTGGCGCGCAACAATAAGCATTCTCGTCGGTTGTGTCTACGAGCGCCATCTAGCGATATCTAGCTGATAATTCCAATTTAAACCACCATCCATTCATGCGATAGCTAGGAGTATGACATAATCTTGAGACCGAAAATTGGACTGATTCAAAACTAGATTCAGTCAGATTTTAATTTTCATTAGAAAAACAAGGATGAAGAAGGAAGGATTTTGGCTATTTGTCTATATATTCTTTTATTTTTAGCTTCTCTAAATTTTGTTACTAGATGTCTAATACCAGCGGTATAGCTGGATACTTTTAGTTATATTGAAAGGTTTCTATTTTTTAAAATGATTTATAAGTGGAATAAAATAAAACATATTATGAACGTGGCAATGGCAGGTACATTTTATGATGAAAAATGTTGCTCTAACGCAATAATTCAAGTAGAAAACAAGGTAGTACACAAACAAGGTGTACAGGTATGATCTAGACGCCATCCAGAGATACCTATCCACTTAAGTTCAAACAATACCATAATTTTTCCATATTACGAATTTAATTTTTAAACATTTGCAACGTCTTGTATGAGTGTAAGTTTATGGACTCTATCTTTTTGTAGAGCATTTCACAGGATTAATATATTTAAATTTTAGAAGTTATACCAGAAGCCTTGGAAACAGCTTGTGAAAAATGTACGCTAAAACAAAAACAGTTATTAAACAAGTAATCAAGGCGGTGATGGACCTTCAACCGGTGGCATGGAAGGAACTTGTTGAAAATATGATAAAGACAAAAAGTACAGAGATCCTTTCAACAAGTTTATACATGAAAAAAGGACTAAGCTATGGTGACATTCTAATTACTATTAAAAAAAACAAGGCCTATTAATTATCTAACTAAATGTGTGCGCATCGAGTTTCCTAAACGTATCCGAAATCAATTTTGAACTATATTTAAGTATGAAGTGTGAAAAATTTAAAATTGAATGATGGACATTAGTTTTTCTTGAATGTTTTCATGAGTGTACGCCTATGCTATGATGGCATGGTTAAGTTATTATTAGTGTAGCCTCAACTGCAACGCAAGTTTGAGGTAAATATCACATCTGTAGACAAATAAGTCCATTTGGTTCACCAGCATATTTATTGTATTGCATATATTACACACTCTATCCACTGTTTCAATATTATTTTTGTTCATCAATATTAAAATATTGTCATACATACATAACTTGGACAAGTTTAGACTAATAGCTAAGATAAACTTGGACTAATAGTCATTATATAATATTAAGGGATTGAGAATAATAATATAACAATATCCTTTCATACTGACCGAAATACTAATTTAAAATTTTTGACTTATATTCATTATCATCATCATTACAGCGCATGACAGTTCCATTGCTAAATATAGACCTTGCCCAAGGAATACCAAAAAGCTCATTCTCCATCTATAAAGAGCCGCCCTGCCACTTGTGCTTACTAATTCGTTGGGCTATGTAGTACTACCGCTATCCTTATTACGAAGTCTTTCACGCAAAGAAGCTCCGAGCATAGCCTTCTTCATAGCTCGACCGTGACACTGAGCTTCCTTATAAGGTCAGCAGTGAAAAACTACGTCTTAGATGTACATTATGAGCCCTCTATGTATATAAGGCTTATACTTACTTTTGATATACAGTTACAGCCCACTCAAGTCCACTGCTTAAAATTATGCCTCCTCCATAGAATGCCTCATTAGAAGGATATTTGTCATAGTTGCTACGCTTGCCAAGCGGGTTGGCAACCGCAGTCTATAAATACCGAAGTCGTTATTAGGAAGACGCTGCTGCCCGTCTCGTAATTTGTTTACCTCTGTCGCCTCTTACGACACCCACGGGATGATATGGGGTAGTCGATAATCTTACACTGCCACTACAAGGATCTATTGATTCATTTCTATTATATTGTTAAATTTTTACTGAATAAAAAAAAATATTGTGATATATTACGAAGTCATTACAATCATAAATATTACACAAGAAAAAATTCAAAATCTAGGTTTATATATTATTTATTGTAATCCTGACAGAATTATGTAAAACAGTTACTTAAGACTTAGTGTTTCTCTTTTACGGAATCGAGTCGGTCCTTGTATCTTTGTTGGTATTTGTTGTCGGGATCATATTTAGCGGACAATTCCTTCCATAAATCAGCACGCTTGTTAACTAAAAACCGTATAACCTTCTCAGTACCTTCTTTTTGTTTCTGTGTACATTTAGAACACTCGTTTTCTAAAGCATCAGGCATTGTTTCCTTTAAAGTGTTTCCGTCTGGTGTACAGCGGCCTCTATCCAAGAGACAATCTACATAGCCCTTGAGTAGACGTTGAGATTCTAAAATTTCATCCACGTTAATGTTATCCCACTTATCGGTGTAAGTGGAAGCGGGCTTGCCCCATGTGACTGCCACGACACAGAACAGTGACACCACAATGAATAACTTCATCTCTAATCTGAAATAATATAAAAATTTAATTAAACCAAATAATCATTTATACAATACTAACGATCCGTCCCGACTTCGCACGGGTTATTTCTGTATCTTGACAATAGCGCCACCTACCGGGCCCGATTGTGAATCTAAACCATTGAGGGACCCACTCAAATGCACACAAGTTTCAATCAAATTCGTTCAAGGCGTTTTCGAGTATTAGCGAGACTAACGGACATCAAATAATTTTTACATAATATATAGAGATGATAGATAAGGACAGATACGCAACAACACTTCCAGTTTATCTGTTTGAGCCACAATTAATAATTAGAAATACAAAACTTTATAAAATCGTAATGAGAATCCAAAGGTATTTGGTAATTAATGCGAGATTTATTTATTTAACCTATACTGAACTTTAAAAACAGTACAAGATCAAAAGGCGAACTTAATGCTAAAATTATTCTTTGCAAGTGAACCTTAGTGCACTGATGTGAGGCTACGAAGGCGGTTACAGATAATACAAAATATTATAAAAGTAAAGATTTGTAATTGCAGCCCTTCACAAGTCCACTGCTGAAACATAGGCCTCCCCTAAGGAACGCCACAAAGCACGGTACTGAGCCACCTGCATCCATTGACTTCCTAATTATCTTACCAGGTCGTCACTCCATCTAGTGAGGGGACGCCCTACACCTTCCTGTCGGTACGAGGCTGCAACTCGCAAACACATATTTACAAAATACCGAAGAGAATGAAATAATGGAATTAAAGATACATAAAATAAACACAGACGTATAAACACATACACATATTCACAAATGTTTAAATATGTATAATGGAAGATACATAATATACTGATTAAACAAATATAGAGGAAACCAAACTTAACTCAGCACTTCTTAAAATTTATTCATTTTAGGAAAGGAGACCAAAAAGATCTTTGGTTCGGCATGCACACTTATGACGTTATTTTTTGTTAATTCATAAGAAATATTAATTTTCTTATTTATATTATATATAAGTTAATAATACATACTTATTTAATATACAATATGTACTTATTTAAAATATATACTAATACTTTGCACTACAAAATGTTATAAGTAATTTAAAAACTAGATTATTACCTATAAAATCTGCTAAAACACTGCAGTAAAATATTTTAATGAAAACGTATTTATCTTCAAGTCTCTCTTATATGTATAACCAGTACTCGTTAATTATGACTTGTATTTATACACAAAATTATTCAAAGAATCACGGATGTTATGTTATGAATCCTTATTAAAAAATAAACAACGTGGAAACCAATGACTTTGAAACACATTAAACTTGGGTTTGCCTGTTCATATTTTAATTACGAATGGTCTTTTGTCTTATTGTTATATCGGAAACTTGCTTGATTGTCATAGCATAAAATATTTTAATAGTTCTTATCATACTTATTTGAAAAAAAATATTTTTCCATATTCAAAAATTCTGCCTCCACAACAGCCCATAAAGAGTCTATTTCTGGATATGAGGCAAAAAAATATCTTTATTCTCAGACCAGTAATACTTAAAATTAAAAACATTATTGGAACACTCCTTTTAAGTTAGGAAACTTGTGTTATGAGGCTCCGCTCTTCCCGTCCTTCATTTATATAAATTAGTGTTTAGAACTTGGGTAACACATACATTTTTGACTTATAGTTAAACTTATGTAGTATTTTTACAATAAAATATCCGTTGGTGTTAGTTGTGTGATTGTGTAGTGTATGTGTATGTGGTGTGTGCATGTTGAGGTATATTTAGTAAATTATTAATTATGTATACTAAGTTAAGTAATTTTTTCTAAAAGTATTTCGGTTTCGTTGTAATTTAAAGTTTTCAACCATTCTGTTTTTTTCTTTTTAACTTCTATGATATGCAATGGATATATGCTTAAGATTTTATTTATTTTATTATATAAGTATACTGCCCTTTTCTCATATTGTACTGAAGCAAATGTCGTTTTACAGCGATCGGTATATAGAACTAAGTCGTTTCTTCTTTTGTTTGTCTTGTCTTGTTCATACCTAGTAGATTTGTGAATTTTAATAAATAAGAATAAAATATATAACTTTCGAACTGACAAGACACCAGACAAATTATAAAGGTCAGTAGTGGGGAATCGGTATGGTTTGAAATAGCAGACCTTAAGCAGGGCTCTTTGAGCTCGCTCAACCTCAAGGAATCTTGTTTTTAAAGATCTTCCCCATACTGGGATACAATAAGTAAGAACAGATTGAGCCAGTGCTGTATATACTTTGTTCAGTAATTCGGGGGTTGTTGCATGTCTTAAGTTTTTTAAAATCCACATAAATTTTCTTATGCGGCCAGTTATTAATTCAATATGGTTATACCAAGACAGTCTCTGGTCAATAATAACACCTCAATATTTTGTTTTGTCCACTTTATCAATAACAGCACAGTCACAATTAAAAAGTAGGCTGTCTTGGCAAGTGTGTATTTTAATGCTGAAATTGGCTGGTGGTTGAGTGTAATTGCAAATAGCAAAACAAATATAATTTGTTTTATGCGTGTTTAATGAGAGTAGGTTGTTATTTAACCAGGCTGCTATAGTTTTAAGTCCCGATTCTGTACGCATTTTCACTTCCTCCCAAGTGTCTCCCGAAAAATCAACAGCTGTATCGTCAGCATAGGAGAAGATGTGACCGATGAGTATATTTTATTGTAAGGAAGAATTATCGTAATCGCGAATCGCGAGAAAAAGCGCCCGTTGTATGGGACTACAAACCATAGACATTTAAGTAGTAGTAGTAGTATACCTATATATTTAAATCTCTTTGTTACAAACTAAACATTCTTCGTATATGCAAATTATAATATCGCTGTAAAAATGCTGAATGAGCATCTTCAGCGTCAGTTCAACTGTTGAGGTTGAACAAAAAATTTACTAAATTATGCATAATATGAATTGACAATCACACAATTAAAGTTTGTGAGGTTGAATTGCTGACATCGTTCCATAGTTTTGATATGGCTGCGGCCTGGCTTCTACTACGTATAAATTATTAAATTCATGAGAGAAACTAACACAACACGCACAGATCTTGACTTGTAATAATTAATATCATTAAGAATATATGTGCCGAGTTTTAGTCGTGAAATTATTGTAATTGTCATAGTTTCTTAACACGGCTGCAAAGGACATAGTTCTGCGTCCATACGATGTTCGCCTAAGAACCAACAGTGAAGAAAAATAACTTTTTAAGTCCGAAATTACACATAATTGTATGTAAGAACAATAACTCCTGACGGACACTTCTGAAAACTTAGATATTAGCAGTTATCATAGAGATTTTGAGGTTATGTTTTATTTTTATGAAACATTACTATGCTATTGCTAATGTAAGCAGTTCAGTCTCAGCCCAGCATTTATACGGTAAATAAAACGCCAAGGTATCCGTGCGGATACCTTCTTCCGACACTACATACCCCAAAAAACTAACTTGCCGTTTGAATAGTGAGCACTTCTTCGGACTCAACTTGAGGTTGGCACTCTGGATCTTCATGAGCACGCGTTCCAGGTTTTGAAGGTGTTCCTCAAACGTACGACCTACGATGATGATGTCATCCAAATAGACCAGACAGGCATCTCCAATTAGCCCGGTAAGTACAAGCTCCATCAACCTTTCGAACGTTGCTGGAGCATTGCACAATCCAAACGACATGACTGTAAATTGCCACAGACCCTTTCCTGTGGAGAATGCAGTTTTCTCCTTGTCCTTAGGATCGATTTCAACCTGCCAGTAGCCACTTTTCAGGTCCAGCGTACTAAACCACTTTACGCCTGTAAGCATGTCCAGCGTGTCCTCAATTCTTGGCAAGGGATAGCTGTCCTTCTTCGTAACGTCGTTCAGGCGACGGTAGACAACACAAAACCGCATGCTGCCGTCCTTCTTCTTTACCAGCACCACAGGTGAACACCATGGACTAGATACTTACTTACTTATCTTCACGCACAATCCCTGACGGGGTAGCCAGAGAGAACAGATCGCCAAGTGTCATGATCCTTACATACCTCTTTCGCTTCTTTCAGATTCATTATCTTCTTCATACATGCACGTCTAGGTATCCGAGTACTCTTGACCCTACCCTCTTCGAGCAATTTGCTCACATGGTCTTCGAAAGTTAGTCTCGGTCTACCTCGACACCTTTTAATATTAACTTTCGCGCTATATATTTTCTTCACCATTCGGTCTTCACTCATTCGCTCAACGTGCCCAAACCACCGAAGCACGCCCTTATCAATTTTTGTGATAAGTTCATCTTTCAAACCTGCCATATTGCGAATCTCTTCGTTTCGCTTTCGGTCGGCCATGGTAACGCCGCACATTTTACGAAGAGATCGCATCTCCACTGCATTCAACTTGCTTTTATGCTTCTTCTGGCATACCCAGGTTTCGCTGCCATATAACAAAGTCGGTACCAACACTGCGTTATGTATTGCAAGGCGTGCACTCTTCACTACGCCTTGCCTTTTGACTAACGCAGTCAGGGCACCATTGACTTTGTTCCCGGCAGCGACACGCCTGTCCACATCTAAATCACATCTTCCATCTCGGCTAAAAGCACTCCCCAAGTATACTATTTCATTTACTTGTTCTAGACATTCCTGATTTACCCATATTTCACACTTCGTTCTCTCTTCGTCCCTTTCAAAAACCAGAACCTTGGTTTTATTAGCGTTCAAACGGAGACCTTTAATTTCACATTCCTCTTTAATACACGTGACTAATGCCTGCAGTTCTGCCTCTGATGGTGCAATAAGCACTGCATCATCAGCATACAGCAGACAATTTACTTTTATGTCACCCAATTTCACACCCAAACAGCTATCTTTCAGCTTTTGTAAACAGCTGTCGAGGTACAGTATGAACAGCCAGGAAGACATGACACAACCCTGTTTTACGCCCGTTTGAACGCTAAACATGGGTGACAGGTCATGCCCTACCCGCACACAGGCTTTACAGTCACAGTAAAGAGACTGCACAGCCCTTAGCAATCGGCCATCCACACCATACCCCGGCAACAGTTCCCACATTTTCTTCCTTACAACCTTATCAAATGCTTTCTCAAGATCCACAAAAGCACAGAAAATCTTCTGGTTAGCAGCCAGAAGCTTTTCCGTGATCATGCGGAAAGAAAACATTTGATCCGTGCATCCTCTTCCAGGTCTAAATCCGCATTGTGCCTCCCATAGAAATTTTTCCGATTTCTCTTGCATCCTACGTGTCAAAACCTTCGAGTAAACTTTACTTGCTAAACTGGTCAAGCTGATCGCCCGATAGCACCCGCAGTCAAAATGTGAACCTTTACCTTTATATAAAGGCACAATGACTGCGGATCGCCAATCATCCGAGACATCCCCCGTCCGCCAGCACAAATTGCACAGCAGATGAAATTTGTCCCAGACGCGAGGCCCACCATACTTGACCATTTCAGCAGTAAGTCTGTCTAGTCCCGCAGCCTTACCACATTTCAAACTTAGAATCGCACGTTCAATCTCTTTCATACTGATGACCTCAGTGTCATCGAGGTCCGGGTCTGGCGTACCAGTCACGGCGTCATCCCCAGATCCCTCACTAAGATCATCACACGCATACATTTCTCTATAAAATTCGCTCCATCGCTGCATGACGTCCGATTTTTCTGAGAGGACTAGATGAAGGTTCAATAACACCATCTTTCACCATTCCTTAATCATGGTTTCCACTTTCTTTTCACGTGCTACAGGCAATCTCCTTGGCCGCTGACGAATAGGCAATTCTTCTCCTGTGTTTATTTAGTGTTGAACTAAGCCAGTCTTTCCTATGTCAGCTTCGTTTGACGAGAAAACATGGGCGTACTTGAGTAACAACTTCTTCGCCTTGACCATTTCATTCGGGGAGAGAACGCTGCGACAGTCTTCTAAAAGTGTGGTCACTCTCATTTGTCCATCCTTGCTGAGGGTCCCAGTGGATAGATATTCGCACCGACGCAACCAATCCACTTCCTCACTAGTACCAACCAATGTGCCTTTTTCTATAATCTGTTCCTGATCACAAAGGTTCAACACACGTACTCCTGAGATGTCGGTGGTTCTGACCAAGGTTCGAGCCACTTTCCATGGAAGGTCATTGTCTACCCTTTCCACAAGTACTCAACGATGAGCTTGCCCAGGGCTCCGAGGAAGACTAACCGGCACAATCGTTTCGATCTCGGCGGAAGAACAATCTTCTTAAGGCTGTACACATTCCCTGGTAACGCCCCTTCCACGAAAAGTTTCTCTTGTCCACATTTCAAAACACCTTGCTTAACGTCGATCTCACAACAATTCTTCCTCATAAAGTCTAGGCCCAGGATGCAGTCGTCCATTATATCAGCCACGATGACATTATGCAGGTAGATCATGTTGCCTAGCTTCAACTCCATCTCCTTCTCTCCACGAATGGGTATGCGCTGACCGGTGGCTGTCACCAAATTAATGCGTTCGCGGTTGTATGCGGAGTCTCCAAGGAACTGACTTATAAGTTGTGAACTGACAACCGTGCGAGAGGCTCCAGTGTCTATGGTCAGTTTACACGGTGTTCCGTAGACCTCGCCCTTGATGATCAGGCTGTTCCAATCACGGGCTTGTGAAATTGAAATTCTTGGGGCTCTTTTAACATCAGCCAGTACCCGCCAGTTTCCCTGCTGCTGCTGGGCGGTGCTGTTAGCCACAATACCCTCTCGAGATCGATCACCTTCCCTTTCTACAGTTCGTTTAGGGCAGCTGGATCGAAGATGGCCCCTTTCCCCACAGCCGTAGCACCTAGGGCTGTAGCCGTTGTTGCGGTCCCGAACTGTAGCTGCTGCAACCTCCCTGACGCGGTGGGAACGATGATCCTGCCCCACGGTTTCCACCTCCAGTGCATGGGTCAAGGCGTCCTCAAGCGTCTCGTGGTGCTCGAGCCTCACAGCAGCTATGACTTGAAGGTCGCGGATGCCGTCGATGAATGTCTGCACCAGGTTCCCTACAATGAGCGCAGGTACAGACTGGTATGCTTTTCGAACCAGTTTCTCCACCTCAAGGGCCCACTGCTGCAGGTTTTCGTTACTGCGTTGCACGCGATATTTGAGCTGTGCACGAAAGACGTGTTCCAGGTGAGCGTCGCCATATCTCGCTTCCAATGACTCAAGAAGCTGCTCGTAAGTCACTTCCTTACCGAGAGCTTCCAGAACAGATAAGGCCTGGTCACGCAGGCCTTCAGTTCGCCTTCATGACAGCCTCGAATTGGATTTTGTAGGCCGACCAGGAAGAAGTACCGTCGAACTCCATCCCCAATTTTGAGGTTGTCCAGCGTTTTCTTCAGGTCAACCATCACGCTGTCAACCCGATTGTTCACTTGGTCGATACGGGTTTCAGCTTCCGACAGGCGGTTGTCATGTTGGGCAACCCTATCCTTCACCTCCCTTATCTCTTTCCCGAAGGAAGCGTGAAGGTCCTTCATGAGAAGAAGCTGCTCTTCCAGCCGACGGCCCTATTCCTCCTGTTGGCGGGCCTGTTCCTCCTGCCCGCGCTGCAGCTGCTCTTCCAACCGACGGGCCTGTTCCTCCTGTCTGCGCTGCAGCTGCTCTTCCAACCGACAGTCCTGTTCCTCCTGTCGGCGGGCCTGTTCCTCGTGTCGGCGAGCCTGATCCTGCAACATCATCATCAGAGCACCTAAGTCAGGTGCTGCAGATGCAGGAGCTGCTGACGGGCCGGCCTCCGTGGTCAGCATCTGGCCCTCCGACGTTTGCGGCGTTGCATTACCAAATCGTCTCTGGTCCGCCTCCAGCTGGCGTTGACTTCGGGTACGCATACCCTCCATGTCGTCCTTTGGTAAAATCGGCATGATTTGATCCCACTTCTGACACCAATTGTTACGAGCTTGGGGTTCGAGACAATTAAAAACTGCCGATTGAATTACCAAAATTGACACTTTAATTACACAACACTAATTACAACTTAAAATCACACTAATAATAAAACACAGTTCGGCGTTATTTCACTTCGAAGTATTCTCTTGTATCGCCAATTCAATACTGCCTCGGTCATGGTCTATACCGGCCTTATATAGGGCCTCAGATAGTTTCCAGAATCTTCTACTGTAGCGACATCTAGAATGTTCGAGTACATATGGGTACCGAAATTTCTTGAAGGATGTTGACGCTCCTAGTTCTGCTACTCGACACTAGAGGGCGCTAGTGTAACTAGTGTTGCCATGTACAAGACATTAATAGTGGTGCGCAACAATATATTGTAGCGAGCGGTGCGCCGGTCAAATGCTCAAGGTCGTTCGCAAGGAGTAGCCCCTTAAATCAGCTGAAAATATTCAAGAATATCTAAGCTCGTGCAGAATCAATCGTGAGCGAGAGTTTTAAGAAAATGTCTCAAATTAACTCTATTCGAAAATATTTGTCTTCACGGTTTTGTGTAAAGATTTTCGATGGTTTATATCTGAACTTTAAATATTTTCACACAAACTAAACCGGTAGCATACATAAAGAATTCGTTTATAAATTTTGTAGTTCAAAACTTATAAGGCCGGACACCTCCTTGCTTGAACCATTGTTATATAAATGGAAAGCGTGCAATAGAAAAAACATAAGGAAAAACATGGAGGAACAAGATAGATTAACAATCATGCGACATCAATGCCGTTAGGCACATCCGAATTTTATAATTTTTTTATTCGAAGCTCATTTTCAAGAAATCAAAAATGCACAAGAATAAGCATTCTCGTCGGTTGTGTCTACGAGCGCCATCTAGCGATATCTAGCTGATAATTCCAATTTAAACCACCATCCATTCATGCGCTAGCTAGGAGTATGACATAATCTCGAGACCGAAAATTTGACTGATTCAAAACTAGATTCAGTCAGA